GATAGTCGACCAGTCTCAACTAAGCAGTTAACCTACCAGCGGACAGCTTACAAAATTAACATTTTTGGAATAGGCATCCGGTCAACTAAACATCACTCTGTTAGGGTTTGAACCGATACAGCCGAATCGTTTTAGAGGCTTGTGAAGAGTGTTCACTGTTCATATGATTAAACCTACACCAATAGGGAAGTGTTGAGGCTGCTCTTGTCAACACAGAGATATGTATTTTCCTCGTGCGTAAAGTCGACCACGAAAATGAGTTGCATTTCAATAGTGCTGGGAAAAACTGGGGAATGTAAGCGATGAAGAGGAGGTTTCGTTCGATGTAAGCTAACTGTCCTCATCTGTAAACCTACGGCCCTCCAAAGCAGTTGCTGTGGATAACCACGTTGTGCCATATGGAACCCTAGAAGAAGAAAACTTTTGTGAACAACTCGACCGATTCTTGCTTACGTAATCTGAACTCAGTAGAGATTGTTTTGAACAACTGCAAGGAATACCCATAGAAAACTCGACCTTTGGACTTATCACAGAAGTTGCAGTGCACAACCTGAAACGTATTGTTCTAGTAAATATAAATCCCGGAATATGGATCTGTTGCATGAATGGTAGGTTGTAAATCACCCAACGCACTCTAGCTATCAATATTTAGGTATACTGCCAACGTGACTGATGCTTTTTACTGTGATCAAACGGAGTGAACATGCCAACTAATAAACAACAGTTCCGAAGAAAAACAGTGCAAAATGAAGAAGATAACGATGGGAATCTGGCATAGTAAAATATCTCCATCACGAAAATTTCAAGTGAACCAGTGTAGAGCACGCTCTAGAGAAAGGCGACCAAATCCTCAGGGGCCCTAGCAATCAGCCCAACTATAACAAAGGTACAGCTGAACCTGTTTCAGGTGTATTGAGACGCACTGTACCTTACCACGGAGAACGAAGTTGGACAAGAGAAACGATTGTAGAAGACTTTCTGATGGAATCGATGCTTGTAAAACTTCATTTGGCTGAACTTCGGAATATCCACCTCAACTAACTAAATATCAGGCGGGGAAAAACAAATAAGAGATATATAAACTGTAACATTTACGAAACGGATCCACGATTTTTGAGACAGTGTAACAAAACTTTGACCCACATACCCTGTGGAGAACCTTGCCAAAAAAGCTGGATACAGTGATGAAGCTGAGTGCCAAGATCCAGTGGGACAATGACGACAAACTATGTAAGATAAATAAAAAGGAAGTCTCCTGCCAGAAAACATGAGCTCACACCA